GTGACCTCAATAACCTCTAATAATACTGGTTTGATAAGTATTTATTTAAATCAAATGGCATGCGTTTTGATGGCTATCAATAGCCCTTTAGTTGACTTCAAGCTTCACAAAGGGGAAGGAACATCAATGTGAAAAATGTCGAGAGGGGGGGGAGGTGAACAGAAGAGTGTGTCAAAGACGAAGGTGGAAAAAAGGTGAGGTGAGTACTATGGAAGTGGTAGAATATGGCATACAGTCGGGCCATTGTAGTTTGAAGTCAGAAGTCAACTGCCAGTTAATAGACTTTTTTTGCCGAATGAGTATACGTTGCCCAGGGTGCACTACGTGGAGGTGGGTCTATTGCACACCCCACTTTTGTAAGTATTTTCTTAGTAATTGAATGCTGGTATAGTTTCATTTTATAAGTTTTCTATGCACTAGATGATTCAGATATATTTGACCAAATTTCCACTCAATGACTCACAGGGGATAAAACCAGGCCACTCCACTCCTTCCTGCGTCACATTTTCAGTTTCTTTTATTAGCCGAGCACGTGATTGTGCTTTAGCTCTGATCTTCACATTTTAGGAAAGGCATTACTGACATTAAGATCACTCGATTTTTAAGGGGGGGGGGGTTTCAAAGTCCAACTTTCTTTGTCTTCTATGGCAGCTTTATTTTGGCAATGTGTTCCACTTCGAAGAATTTAATCGGGTGAATTACTCTCATTTTTGCGAAAGTAATTATTCAAATCACCCTGTAAGGCGTAAATAATTGACTTATTTCAAATTATAGTTTCGCTTTTCAATATTGCAAATCTGCTATCGTTTGAATAGTCGTCAAGAGCTCAAGGTGATATACAATGCATTCAATTTGTTAGAGTATAGATGGTTATGGATAAACCTCAACAACCGTTTCTGCCTAAATCTCTCACTATTAAATTGTTCTCGAAGTTACCTGAGCTAGCTCAACGCTACCGAGGATGGAGAAGGCATGGAGTGAAAATCGATGGACTTACCTCCATGTGGTGCACCCTGGGCAACGTATACTCATACGGCAAAAAAGTCTATTAATCGGCAGTTGGCTTCTAACTTCAAACTGCCATGACCCGACTGTATGCCATATTCGACCCCTTCCACAGTATTCACCTCACCTTACCCATTTCTCTACATTTGTAACTGTCTGTCTCTTTTACATCTGTGATTCACTCCTCTCTTCCCCACCCCCCTCTCGACTTTCTTTCTCACTTTGATGTTTCTCCCCTCTGTGAAGCCCGAGGTCAATTGAAGGGTTAATGATAACTATCATACTGCCTGCCGCTTAATATAAATGATGAACGAAAAATTTGACAAACTGGTTGGTTTTAGCGTGTACTAAAAACGATTACTATGATGCCAATGATTTCATTGCATAAAATGCAACTCTATCGGAAAGGATTTAGTAGAATGTACTAGAGCTTAAAGGTCAAATTGATGATTTATGGGATCAAGGGAGTAATGCACTTGAAACAAGTTAGATTCTACTCGTTTTGTCAATCTCACATTGGTGAAGTGGTGTATAGTCGAGACACAATAAGGTGGAGGGTAAATTCTAGCACTAGGAAAAGTCTATATTTCTATAAGTGGGGTGCGCGATAGACTTACCTCCACGTGGTGCACCCTAGGCAACGTATACTCATACGCAAAAAAGTCTATTGACTGGCAGTTGACTTCTCACTTCAAACTACCATCACCCCATTGCATTTCATATTCGAATAATTTCACAGTTCTCACCTCACCTTTTTCTACCTTCGTGCCTGTCTGTCTGTCTCTTTTACTTCTGTGAATCATTATTCTGTCCCCCTCTAGACTTTTTGCCACTTTGATGTTCATCTTCCTTTCTGTGAAGTCCGAAGTCAATTTAAGAGTAAAATAGGGTGCCATATTTAGCTCACTTACTGAGTTCCATTTTTATGGCATGTAGCGAGGGTTCACGACTAGTCAAATTAATAAAATTCAAGGGCATCCAGAGAATAGGTTTTCAAAAAAATATAGATTCGTTCTTATCTAAAAGCTAGCATTTATTGCCAATGGGAGGATAAATTCGAACATACTATCAAAAGTAAGAATGGATATAGTGCAAATAAAGCAGAAGTGTAAAGAGCCTTTAAAGTTCAGAACTTAGTACTATTGACGCTGGCTCTAGTGAAACCATAGTAACTTTGACGAATTTTCATATGCTTTATAAAGAAAATAAATCCACACACATTGAGCTTCAATATTTTGAGTAGAATGCAAAGTTGAAGATAACTTGGCGGACGTTGTAACGCACGCCTATGCCTTCCGGCCAATCAACTATCAATTGGCAGGCGTTTTGATAGTTATCATTAGTCCTTTAGTTGACTTCAGGCTTCACAGTGGGGAAGGAACATCAAAGTGGGAAAAAAGTCGAGAGGGGGGGGGGCAGAAGAATGTTTCAGAGACAGACACAAAGGCAGAGAAAAAAGGTGAGGCGAGTACTGTGGAAGGGGTCGAATATGACATATAGTCGGGTCATGGCAGTTTGAAGTTAGAAGCCAACTGCCGATTAATAGACTTTTTTGCCGTATGAGTATACGTTGCCCAGGGTGCACCACGAGGAGGTAAATCTATCGCACACCCCTCGATCAATATTCATACAGCTTAGCGATAATTGCACTCAATCATTAAGGAAAGTACAATAAGATTCGCTACTTTTGACGATATCTAGGTATTTTGGACCAACTTAGGCTGGAGCAGCTTGCCAGAAGCTAGTCAGAATTCAATGGCTTTATTATAATAAATATCAGATACAGCACCGACTTCCCACCACATCCACTGTTTTCTATTCCTTTAAATATCATTCCGAATTTCCAATAGGGCCTAATTGTCTCTTATTCAGTTTCTGCCTGTTTTCCCTACACACTTCTCACACCTTTTTGGCTCATTTATAAAACCTTCTATTTTAAATATCGTGGTTGTAATCTTTCTTACGATTAAACGCATAAGAACCCAACAGTGAGCCAATGTCATACTACTACTAACTTTTCGATAAATAATGAGCTTATTAACTGGGACAGTTTTTTAAGTTTACAAAAGTTACGCGTCAAAAGTGATAATAATAGCGTGTAACTGGAAAGACGTTGACGTAGGGTGAAAATTAGATTTCTCTGGATGAAATCAATTAAAAATCCAACGGGTACGCTTGAGGCGGCTTTTTGGAACACACTGGCTCAACAAAGGTATAACTAAACCAAAATCCCCAACTGAAAACTCACTAAACCGCTCTGATGAAACGTGGGTTCTGGCCACTTTATCGATCGAACAGTTGTGCGGATATGGAAAGCTAGAAACTAAACTTGTCATTTTTAACACACGAGGCACTCCAAGATCTATAGATCAAGAAGCTATGACGTTACATATAAGCATAAATACAGCATTTAGTGTACAACCCAATAGTCACATTACAGACATTCGAAAAATTGCCAGTGACCCGACACAGCCGAGAAAAGAGAGCTCAAATGGCAAAAACTAAGCGTTTTTTAATAATACCCAAAAATATAGAATTAAGCAATCGATGGCAAAAACCGAAAGCAAGAGACAGTGAACCTCAGAGGGAAGAGTGATATTGAAACTAGATACTAAGAATGTTTATAAGGGACGTGATTTCTACTACTGAGACATCCAAACGACACCGGGCTCCAACAACAAAACTACAACTTGAATTCCTCGAAGAAGTCATTGCCTTTATCGTCAACAACGATGAAAGCTGGGAAATTCTCAACTTCCACACGGAAAATAGCCTCCATACCGAGTTCGGGATACTCAAGAACCTCAACCTTCTTGATGCAGTTCTGGGCTAAGATAGCTGCTGGACCACCAATTGACCCAAGGTAGAAGCCACCATGTTTTTTGCATGCATCGGTCACCTAAACACAGGAGAATAGAAGTTAAATCAGCTATATAAGATAGGAAAAAAGGACTAAACTTACAGCCTTGGAACGATTGCCCTTAGCAAGCATGATCATGCTTCCACCATGGCTTTGGAAGAGGTCGACATAGCTGTCCATACGACCAGCAGTGGTTGGACCGAATGAACCGCTGGCATAACCCTCAGGAGTTTTAGCAGGACCGGCATAGTATACAGGATGGTTCTTGAGATAATCAGGCATAGGCTGACCAGCATCAAGCCTCTCCTTAATCTTCGCGTGAGCAATATCACGAGCAACGACAAGGGTACCGGTTAGATTAACACGAGTTTTCACTGAGTGCTTTGAGAGGGTAGCCAATTGCTCTGACATGGGTTTATTCAGATCGACGTTGACAACATCACCTGAAAGTTGGGCTTCAGAAGGATCAGGAAGGTACTTGGCGGGATTAGTCTCCAACTGTTCCAGAAAGATGCCCTCCTCAGTAATCTTGGCGAGACATTGACGATCAGCAGAGCAAGAAACACCAATACCAACGGGACAAGATGCTCCATGTCGTGGGAGACGGATAACGCGAACATCATGACAGAAGTACTTGCCACCAAACTGGGCACCCAAACCCATATTTTGGGAGATCTCAAGGATGCGCTTTTCTGCTTCCAAATCACGAAAACCACGACCGTGTTCGTTACCAGTGGTAGGAAGGTTGTCAAGGTAACGAGCGGAAGCCAATTTGACAGTTTTCAAGTTATACTCAGCAGACGTTCCACCCACCACAACAGCCAAGTGGTAGGGAGGACAAGCAGCAGTACCCAGGGACTTCATTTTATCTTTGACAAATTCATAAAGGCTCTTTTCATTCAACACGGCCTTTGTTTGTTGGAAAAGGAAGGATTTGTTAGCTGAGCCACCACCCTTGGCCATGAAGAGGAAGTTGTAGTCATTGCCCGATGTGGAATAGATTTCAATTTGAGCTGGAAGATTAGTTCCTGTATTCTTTTCTGTAAACATATCCAGTGGAGCAACCTATAAGTAAATGAAGATGTTACTTGCCTGTTATTTCAAAAAAATCATGTTAGATGATTACAAGGTTAAAAGTTTCTACCACATTTAACCAGTCTTCCATCGTTACAAATTTTCGCCATTAGTGGAAAAGCTTTATCGCAATAGGTCCAACAAATGGCCATAATTAGCTCCTATTTAGTAATATACCTGCGAGTAACGAAGATTGTGTTTTGTGAACGTATTATAGACACCACGAGACAGAGCAGCACCATCGTCTTCATTGGTCCATACATATTGACCCTTTTTGCCCATAATGATAGCAGTACCAGTATCTTGGCAACTAGGCAGGATCATGCCTGCTGCGACATTGGCATTCTTCAGGAGCTCCAGAGCAACGAATTTATCATTGTTTGATGCATCAGGATCATTGAGAATATTTGAAAGAAACTGTAAGTGAGAAGAACGAAGCAAATGGGAGATATCGAGCATAGCTTTTTCAGCCAAAAGGGTCAAACCCTTTCCATCAACTTCAAGAACCTTTTTACCGTTTACAGTGGTAGTCTTCACGTAATCACCTAATAAACAAATTATAAACGAGCGGTGAAGTCAAATAAAGCAAACGAAATAATTAATTGCCAAGGAATATTCATACCAGAGATCTTTTTGAAAACAACATCAGCATAGGGAGGCTTCTCGAATTCCAGTATATCTTGGTAGTGGAAGGGTTTAACTTGAGCCGCAAAAGCCCTGCAGTTAGCAGGACACGCCAGGCAGCGAGATAATGCTGAAGAAGCGCTGAAAGACATGTATGTATTTAAGTACCCCTTACCGTAACATTGACGAAATTACGAAACGAATACTCGTATGGTTTATTGTTTGCAGATAAAACAATGATAGATTAAAACAAGATCAAAGTTCCACAAATATATCAAATTGTATTATTTACCAAAATCGAAGTGTTAGTTCTCTAAAATTTTGATCGAATCACACCTTCTGTTTCACCACATTTTACTACTTAATTTCATACCCAATGTTGCAAAGATAATGATTTATCTTAAGGTCCAAAACTGTGCTAAATCTTAAACATGTCATGATTAAAAAAAATTTAATTGCTAAATATTGAAGTTTATAAGTAATTGGTATTCACTCCATTTGAATCTTTCTTTTTCAATTAATTTCAACGGTTTTATGAATATATTCTAAGCAAAAATAAAATAGATAGAGAAAATGGAGCTATGTTTAATCGCAATGGTGATTATGCGACAATTAACGTATATTTTCAACCCAATTTGGCAATCTGTTGGCTATTCGTTATTTTACCTTTTTATGATTTTTCATTTTGAATTTTAAGTTTTACGACAAATTATGAAAACAGCACTGAACGATTAGAGGCTTTATAACCTGTCTGAAATGCTTTTAAGAGGAGCGAGCGAGTTATTCATACTTTTATATTTCATACAGTGAGGCAAATATTGTTTTGGAGGTAGCAATTACTTTGAAAACAGCCTTTCTGAAAAATAGTTCAATGAGAAAATTTCTAAAATTCATCGAAGATCATAGTTCAAAATAGCAAAATTTTGGTAATAGCATTTCATTACACGATTTATTTTAAAGATAGTAACTCAAGTAGCAAAATTGCATATAGTCTAACCCTGTGAAGATCTTGTACCAATAATTTTAATTAGAAATAAATAATTTATCATCTTATAAAACAACCGGAAAGTAATGCATCTATTATGTCCAAAACGCTTTGAAACACATTAAAATTATATGATACTAATGTATAAGGAATAAACAAATTATGCAAACAGCAATCATAAAATGGTACCAACGAATCATGCAAAAAATATATATATATTTCATGTATTAATTAGTAGTCTAATGAAAAATCTTAAAATTTATTAGAAAATAAATGTTCGATTTGTGGTTATAATAAAATTAAATTTAATTAAGCGTTTTATTTTCATAAATAGTGTATGAACGTCTTATTCATTTTAATATGTTTTAAATAATCAGTTTATTCTTGTTTTGAAACCTTGACGCCGATAATGCATTTGAAAATAATTTTAGACGCTAACACATTTTTGAAGTGTGAAAATTAGTTGGGTACTAGAATCTGAAATTTTGTATTAAGCTTTATGAATCTATCACAGGTATTTATTTCAACGGGTGTTAGTTTCTCCATTTTATTCCATTTTTTAATCTTAATTTTGAAATTTACAGTTTCCAACGAATAATTTACGTGCGTGCTTACCAGCATTTGGCTTTTGCGTTCAATATTCCCTTCCACTATGAGTGAAGATCGAAGTCTCGCATCGTTTTCAGGTAGGTCATTTTAAAGTCATATATATCTTCATTTAACTATGTTCATTTAATGTATCATATTATTTATAAATTTTTGCTACTTATTTTTAAGTTCCCATTTTTATTACTCACTGTCCTTCAGCCACTTTAAAGGAAAATATTTAATTCGTTAGTCACTTTCAACTTTAGCTAATTTTCATGCAATGATTAAAGTCAATTTATTGATTTAATTAGTGGAATTTACAACTTATCCTCCACATTTAAGCTTCATTTATACTCCTTCTAAAAAAACACTCCTTAGTATTTCTCCAACTTTTATCGTTGATATTTTTTTCATCCAAAATCCTTTTTGATAACAAAACAACCTCTTGAATTTTCTTTTCAAAAAATATTTTTTTAAATTAATAGTTTCAGAGAATTTTAAACATTTTGAATTTTGTATTAAACTATGAAAATTTTAAAATTTAATGCTCGTTTCTTTGACTCTTCTTCCAATCTTTGTTTGTATATTGTATTGATAATTTAAAGTATACGGCAAAAATTAGGATAAATTCCAATCTGTAATATTCGGGTCAATGTGTACGCTGCACATGTTTGTAAAAAGCACCTTCACTTATTTTATGTGATTTCTGCTGACCAAATAAATATCAACCCTATTTTCGGAAAGTCGATTGCAAATCCAAAAGAATGTCAGTACGTATTGCGGAATTTCAGTTGTTATTTAAAACCGAAATTGTTAACATGTTAAAATAACCTGGTAATTGCCTCTTTATTCTTTATTCACACAAAAGTAGTTAATGAAACTACTCGGACAACTAGACTCTTAGCTTTTTGGATTTTCATATTAATAAGAGGATAGGGAAAATTTTGTTCCTATGAGGTGTCGGAATTTAGTTCTTCACCCTTCTCTCCTCGTCTGCTCCATCCATCATCCTTAGATCCTCTTAAAGATGCTGACATTATACTTTATATTAGCAATGACGACAAAATTGTCATCAATTGTGATCTAATTACTATTGCCTCCTGGAAAAAAAGTTGACGATTCGGCATTTTTGTGAAGTAGTCATTTCCGAAACACTGCAGTGGCATTGTCTTCACTCCTTTCACAAATTTTCTCTATTTTTCTGATGTGAGCATTGGCTCCGTTGAGTATCTCAGTTGAAATGAACGTCATTTTTTTGCACACTGACTGATTAGCTTTGATTGGGTCATTCTCTCTCTCTCTCCCTCCCTCCCCTGTGTGTATGCATACTTTCGTTTTATAATTTGCAATTTCCGGTCGGAAGGATATTTTTCCCTTTCTAGAAATAGAGCTGCTTAGTAATTCTAATGCGGTAACTGTACAAGTATCAATTAAATACCACAGGTCAAGGATAAAGTTCACACAAATCAGGCAAAAATGCCACGAATCTGAAATTTATCGGAAATATTTTCAATGAGTGAAATGATTAGCTGAGCTTTTAAGACATAAATCAAGGAAACGAATCAGTTGAAATTGACTCTTTATTTCTAAGAGAAGACTAAAATGTGCATTGATAATCCAATTTTGCTTATTTAATTAAAAAAATAATTACACAAATAGTCTTGGCTTTTTATTGCATTGCAAGTTTAAATTTCAAACTTGGCGGGAAGTTCCCCACCATATCTGAAGGAAATTTATTTAAAGCTCTCTCTCTTTCTCTCCCTTCCTCCCTCTCTCTAGGTACATACAAGACAACACATCGAAATAACAAATTTTGCTCCAAAAAATTTGGCTTTTTACCTATAAAATGCACCCGGCTTTAACATTTGTCGTTGAAATGACGGTGAAATGTCCGCAGACAACTTTTTTTATGTGCAAGGGCGTCATGTTGCCAAACCCCACCTGGGAGTACTTCTGTACCAAATAAATTGTCAAGCACTGACTGCCCACACTGTCAGACAGTTTGAAGTATCTATTGGCCACTTGCGTCATTACGAACAGTGAAAAAAATGCATGATAGAACAGTTTGCGTCTAATTTTGTATTTCGAAAATGCAGTCATCTGCCAAGCCAGCGACCACGATGATCATCGACCCTTGTGACTGCAGGACATAATTTTATTCATTAGCGAAGTTTAAAATCCGAGCCCAACTTTTATGATGCAATTAAAGAGCAATTCAGTAAATGAAAATTTAAAACTTTCTACTATTTTTTACTTAAATTTTCAAACATAGATTTATTTGATCATTTAATTTTCATTTCCACACAAATAAGATGTGGGTTGAAATATTTGAGGAACTTAAACCGTTTTACAAAAACGTAAAAAAGACCAATTTGGTATCAGGAAAGTTCACCTACAATTGGGTTCATTTAATTCACTTATAAAATTGGTTTCATTAAGAGATTCTCTTAAATACAATCATGGTGAAGAGATTTCAGAAATTATCTACACTTGGATTATTTTACAGGCCAAATAACATATTAGTTAGCCCATAATAATAATAATAATAATAATAATAATAATAATCTTCTTCAAGAGTAGTCTTATAGCATTTTTAAGAGTTGGTAGATTTCCAGTTCAATATTCCTGAGAACTCACGGTTAAATGGTTTAAAATATCGTTTTTGTACACATATTTTAATAAATAATCAAATACACAATTATAATTTTAATGTTACTGAAGCAAAAACCGATTGTAAAAAGTTATCACAGGTAGTAAACCTGTTTTAGTGCTTTTAAATAATGTAGATCTCTCTTGATTATCTCTTTATTGACTAATAATTCGTCGAATTTTCATTAGATTCAAGCGCTTTTCCAAACCTCTACGTTAATGCAAAGATATAATTACATTTGCATATGTGGAATGGATACATTTCTCCCCTGAGTACTTTCTGCAATTTATCATGACAAAATCCAATTATGGCCCACTTTCAAAATTGCATTACAGATCCTAATTGACTTTGACAAACTTTTCTCTTGTATACCAAATCATGAATAATTGAAACTTCCTGCCATACGATGGTTTACCAATGTAAATAACAATTTGCATATAAACCCTACTTGCCAAAAAAAGAGACGAACCAGCGTTGTCGATTTCTCTGTAAACTTTAATTGAAAATTTGCGCAAAATAAAGAAAAATAACTACAACCCAACATTGCTGCCTTAAAAATAATATCATGATTGTTGTCATACGAATTTTAAATTCCTTAATGTCTTAGAATCTTGAAATAAATTTTGCATTCCTGTTATATATATATTGCTGTAAATGAAGGATTAATAGTAATTTATAGGGTTATTAATTAAAATAAGAAAGAAATGAAAAAATGAAAAAAATAATTTAATGTTTACAAATTGCTTGGCTCGTCATCTCCAAACAAAAATTTCCGGCCCCATATTTTGTGGAAATTGCTTCAATTTCAACGTGGTTCAACTTCGTCTTTTGTCAACCTAAAATTTATTTTCTTAAAACGAAACCAAGATATTATTTTATAGAAAATTATAATCAATTCTACTTTAGACATATCTTTGCAATTCATTAATATGATTATATACAAAAGTTTAGGTCGTAATTATGTTCCATTGTTGCTATCAAAATAAAAATAACATGCATCCTCCATAAATCTATTGAAATCATGCAAATTAAATTCAACCGGAAATGAACGTTTTACAACATTTGACTAAAAAAACAATTTGATTCATTCATTTAAACAATGGGTGGTGTGGTAAAATCAGTGATTCTTTAATTGGCATAGATATTTGATTAGATCATGAGCAAATTTTAAAATAAGCTACATTTGTGTTAGTGGAAGCTAATGAGAAATCAATTATTTCAGAGAATAAAATTGAAAAATGAAACCATTTACAATCAAAGAAGGCGAAAATAGTTTAATTTAGTGTTTTACAACAATAAATAGCAAAATACCCGTCATTAGAAATGGGATTAAAAAAACTAACTTTGTTTAAGTAAAAAACGTTAATGCATCTATTTAAACAAACAGGGTATTTCAACAGTCACAGGATCTTGAGTTCACGATCGTTGAGCAAATGGAAGGTAAAATGGGTGAAGTGACGATAGTTTCCCATCCATTCTCTCCCTCTCTGTCCAATCTGAATATGATAAAATAATTAATTTTGTTGAGGTAGAATAAAGGCAAAATCAAGATAATAGCCCCCTTCCCTCTATTGTGTGAAGTAAATAAATATGAGCTAAAATATTCTTGGCACTTTAAATTAAAATATCCACAATTCCATTTCGCACGACACATCATTAAATCAATAAAAGTATGCGTTTAAGTGTACTGAAACAGATTGCATTATGTATACATATCCAATTATCCTTTGATTTGTCAAGGAAATAAATATATTTTGAAAGTGGTTCCAAATGTTTTGGATTTTTATTCGGTTACTTATGGGGAGATCAGTTAGAGTGGAGATCCCCAATTCAGGAATTTTGAAATGCGTCAATTCTATAACAAGTAATGAATTATTCAGGTACTTAAATTGAATATATACTGGGACGGAAGGTAGATTTGGATATCAATTGAGGTTGGATTAATTTTTTACAAGTGTTGGGTGGATGAGCATTCTGATTGAGGAATTTTAGGGCAAAAATGGTGTTCTCAAGACATAGCCGCAAACACGTAGGTTAACTTTTTTTGAAAGCTACTGCTATCTAGAATCGATTGAGCTTTTATCACAAATAACCAATTGTTCAGATTTGAAGTTAATCAAAGTACTCATAAATCAAAATGATTGTGCCGTTGAATTATTTCCGTTTAAGTCAAGTAGGGTATTTAATGCATTTTGGGCAGATATAATACCACTTCAAGTCTGAAACCGGTGTTTCTTTTTACGCAACATTCGCAGAAACCAATTCTATGAAGCATGGAGAATAAAATTGGACAAGATTTATTTGACAAAAAAAAGGAAAACATTCCTTACCATCCCCTTCCCCCCCGGGGGGGGGGGGTGCATGCAGCAACAATGCTAAATTTATAATCCAATATTGTTTATGTGAGCAGTTAAATGAGATAATCTATTGCTTGGCAATTCTTATGTTCTTTTTTGTTATAAAATGACGAAAATAAATGAATAAACAAAGAAAAATACAACTTTAATGATGTTTACGTTTAAAAAATTATATTACCCACTAGTATAGTTTTAATTAAACGTTTTGGCATCTTTGGTGAACACAATTTCCGCGTATTATTTACTCATCTCAAATGTCATACTCCCCCCCACCTAATGAACTTTGTTCTGACAAAGAATATTTTATTTGATGCTTTATTTGTGTATAAATCATTTTATAGAATAAATATTGTAGTGTATCCGAAGTACCATAGCATGTAAGAAGTTTATCAATCAAAATAAAGGAAAGATCTGCCTCAATTACTTCAATCCTTTAACGCCCTGTGGGACCGTACGCGGTTCTCTTTCAAAATAACCTCCATTGGTACTAGACTCTCGACAGGAGACGCTATTGGCGTTTGAAACATGTTCAATACGCGTCTATAGCCTTCGTCAGATACCACCAAACTCACCATATCGCTGGCATCAATGTGCTGCTGTGAGACACACTCGTGAGTACGATTGGGTGCTGTATTTCCACAACATAATAGGAGCGTTAAAGGGTAAAACATTGATTCTATTGGTTAGTTGAAGAAATAATATAAGCTTCTAAGGTTGTTACTTTAAATTAACATAAAGTTCCACGATTGGACTACTGCATGAGACAGTGGGGGGAGGGGGGGGGGGACATTTGGATGCGTGATGAATAGAACTTGTGGATAAGCATTACTTTTGGAATTAGACAACAAGAAACATGGCAGAAATTAATCCCAAAATATGCTCTTGGAGGGTTTCGCTTCCAACCGAGATAAGAACTTATAAAAAAATATATAGCGTTTTGCCTACAACTTTGTCATCACCGACTTAAATCTTCACCTCCTGACAGAAAGGGATTTTCGTTCTCCTCTAGGTGGGGTAGTGCGTGTGGGAGGGGTTGGGGGTTGTGGTAGGGGGGGGGGTGGAGCTTGGGTAGATGGAGACATTTTAAGCCCCTCTCAATTTCACGTGTTTTTGGGCAAATATTCTTGGCGAGAGATTCTATCATCGTAAAACGGCGTGACTATTTTTCCGCACACCTTTCTGGCGCTAAAAATAGCCAACACGTATCACATTTCACAATACAACTGACCATAATAAGTCATTCTTTGCAAAAGGTAGGGAGGGGGGGGGGGTAGATTAGCCTATAATATCACTATTGGTGTATCACAAATGGCAGTTTGATCTGTCAAATAGCTGCTCATTAAGAGGGTGAAACCAAATAGTGAACTTTTCTCAACCCTAATCAGCGGTCTATAAGAAGTGCATTTTAATAATGTATTTTGCATTTTCTTTTTGTGAAATTAAGTGCACATATCCTTTTATGAGAACAAAAGTGCTTTTCAAATAAATATATATATATATTAATTTTAAAATGATTTATGAAGAGAATTAAGATTAACCAATTAAAAGCAATTTTATTTGCAAGAGATAGACCAATTTACTAATGTGAATTGTTAGCTTAATTTATCAAGTTTCATGAAATGCAGTTATTTAAGTGCTCTTCCTCGAAATCGGAAATCAATATTCAATGACGAATTGGCCGAACGGACTAAACCACAAAATAGTCAAACTTTTATAATTTTCATCGATTTGTCAATTTAAGGTTAAATTATGCTGACCTCCGCCCAAGTGTGAAGACAATATGCTCTCAAATGGAAAGAGACAATGCTAGGCGGTGAGATAGGTTTAAAAGCGTAATAGTCTATTATTGTTATATTCACAGCAAGCTGATAATTGCTGTCCAATAGCATGAGAGGTCATCAAAATGCAGGAAATTGCAAAAAAATTCACAATTGGCTGTGTGTATGTGTGTGTGTGTGAATTTGGTGAATACAGTCCTCTCAACCCGTGAATACTACAAGTAATTAGTCTTCGAATTCAGCTAGACAGTTTTTAGCTCTTTAACACAGTCAACATTCTTTGAGACTTTGTCTTACTTTGTCATTGATAAGGTTGCTTTTACAAATAATAGGCGCAAATGGTTGACCAATCAACTCTGAAACGTATTTTGGCTTTGTTGGCAATACTAATAAGAAAATATGAGCAATAGTGAAAAGGGAGGTTTTTAGATAAGATCATGAACCCATGAGTCCAGAGCAATCGAGCGGGTTATCCAAATAAGTTTGCCTCCTTTGAAAAGAAAGTTGAGTCGTTAGTTTGCTGTCTGGTCAATTTTCCCTCCACACTGAATGTCGAGATGTTGGCACGCAAAGGCCAATCAGACACTCAATCTACCTGATTTGGAGATAGTTAGAGGGGTGTAATTAAATTATCGATTTCCTGATATATGTATCGATACTATGCTTATGATTCTTCCATTGTCTGCTTTAAAGATTTAAATTTCCTGCACAAAAGCTTGATATTTTAAGCTTTGAGTATTGCCTTCAATAGCTATGAATCAACTACTAACTTCAAAATTTCTTATTTAAATATTTTTTTCAAAAGCTTAGATGTTACAAAATTTGAGATAAGGTCATTTTGACCAACCATTTTTTCCTCAAATGCAAGCCACTATCACGCAACATTAATTTTTCCTGTTTCGGAGAAGATTCGAGAGATATTTCGAGTACATCTTTTATCGAACTATCTTGATGGGAACTGGAGTGATTTAAAGCCGTTTTATCTATTCATTCCATTCAAACGCAGGGGCTTTAAGTCATGCGCAGATACCCTCTTCTATGAATCTGATGTGTATGAGAGGGAGGCGGGGGAGGGAGGGAGAGAGAGAGCATGATAATAAAATGAATTATTTCATTGTTGAAAGGTCAGTGGATAAATAGAGGATATGAATAATTTAAAACAACCAATGCACAAACACATACGAACATTCATCGTTTGGTCCAAGGAAGCGATTCTGTGAGAATAACATTTATGGCAGTCAGTGCAAAAGTGCCCACTTTCCATTCGACAAAGATTTTCCAAAATTCTATTCAACTTACTGTTTATACCCACAATGACCGATGACATGAAGCAAACCTTCAATAGGTGGCGATGATGTTGATGATGATGAGAAATTATCCTGTTTAGTGCTTAGTCATCTTTTTATCGATTGTTTTACACTCACCGGAGAAGACTTCACCTCCATTTAGACACCCCTGAAGAAGAGCATCCCCAACTCCTTATTGATAAATTCAACTTCTGTTGTACCATCTTCGACTTCACTTGCTTCGATCCCACACAACTAGCCGGCAAGAAGGCAAAGACAGCAGCATTGAAAGAGATCAGCGCGTACCTCTTTGAATCACCGGCCTCAAGTATAACCTCAGAGGAGGAGGTCTATGCCGCCTGTATCCGACTATTTGCCACCAATATCTTCCGTCCACTTCCACCACCTTCCGCCAGGTCTCTAGCTTCCGCGAGACATCCTTATGAATCGCCAGAAAGTGCTGATGAGGAAGATGTACTGGAACCTGCTTGGCCCCATCTTGAGGTAAGATCAAGACATTAACTAGAGCACATGAACTAGTTTATTGCAAATAACAATAGGCATTATATATTTACCTAAAGGTCGATTTCTTGGCTACAGCAGGGAATTGGTTTGGTCTTAATGAATGTATTAGTTGAAGAAGCACCAGATAAAGTTATTATTAATTGATGTTTGAAAATATAAGGTTTTAAGTTGCCAATTTCAGCATAATAAGATTTTAAATAGGTAAAACTTGGCTCTTAAATCATCCACGATTGGATTCAAGAGAAGCCTTACTTACTTTATTCAAATCTTGCATTTAAGTGCTATTGGGCGAAGCCAAGTTTTTAAAGACAAACCTTTGGCAACCCATCAAACATTTACCTAAATCCCCAATTTCTCTAAACTCGTCAAATTCACGAGAATACAGCTTCTGCCTTTAAAATTACAAAACTATTTAGTAATATGAGGTGACCTGACAACTTACTCGGCAAATCATTCAATCAATTCAACTATTTATTACTTCAGTGATGCTTTTTATGATTTTAGGTTCTTACAGATTGGAAAAAATAGTGTATTTCTTTGAATAAACACTTTACATGTTATCGGACTTTATATAGGTCAGTTTCAGAAATGTTTTACCTTCCTCAAAAGAGGGAGGGGGTCCAATTAGCAAATGCCATTCCATTAAAGTAATAAGCAGCATTGAATTTATTTATATCAAATAGCAGGCGTTTTGATAGTTACCATTAGCCCTTTAGTTGGCTTCAGGCTCCACAGAGGGGAAGGAACATCAAAACGAACAGAAGAGTGCTTCAAAGATGTAAAAGAGACAGACACAAAAGTAGAAAAAAGGTGAGGCGAGTAATGTGGACGTAGTCAAATATGACATATAGTGGGGTTATGGTAGTTTGAAGTCAACTGCCGGTTAATAGGAAAGGTGAATTCACAAAGAGATGGAAGTCTAATTTTCTGTTTCAACCACCAAAAACACTGTCAAACCAACAACTTTCTTCTGACAAATCCTTTGAAATGCACCTACAATTTTTTTTGTATAAACTTTTCTTCGGTAGTGAATTAAATTTGCAAATATCCTGAAATAGTCTGAAAGTCAAAAATAAAACAATAGTACCCTAAAATACACTAGAAAGTGGCACATTTTTGAACTTGATGAATAGGCTAGAAACCAAAATAAACATCATCTGTTAATTATAGTCGGGTGGGGTGGGGGTGTGGGGGTATGAGATTAAGACAATTGAAGATAAAGTAAATACCACACCTCTTGTTCCAACACCAGGGGTGGACAGAGAAGAGGCGCCGACTTTGTAGTCAGGAGGCTGAAACGGTGATGTAATGGGTGGAGAATTAGTCACACACACACAAAAGGCACAATGGAAAACGATAATAAACTTTTAAGCCAGTTGGCGATATTTGAGTGAATATCAAAGCTACGATTGCAATTTTTAAAGCACCCTTAAAGAAACAAGGATTTCGAGTTTTCATCCAATTTACTGTGAACTTGATACTGCACTATTCAGCAGTTAAGTAGCGTCGGCAAGCAGACAATGTTGGGCTTTGCTGACAACAGTATACTGTTAATTTTTTCTATCCCAAGCAATGCAACGCCAATCAATAAAATAATAAAGAAACGAAATGGAAATTATAACCCGGTAGGCGATAAATCGAATCATTTAAGTACTTCAACAGAGAGGGGCGTCAAAGCGATTATTTAGGCCAGCATTCCTATAGCGAAAGCAATTCCCCCCTCCAATTTTGTCTTTGGGACGTGGAAAACTGAGAATGCAGAACACTATAGGTAAGTTAGAAAGATTGAAGCACTCAAGAGAGACAAAATTCACAGCTCAAATTCTGAGAGATGTGTGACACGCCAAATCGATACCTACTGCAAACTTCATTCCGAATTCTAGTTTGTAAAAGTTTCCTACTTTTGATAGTTAGAACAGCTTGTCCAACATGCGTAGGCTAACTTCTTAATAATGTAAACAAGAGCAAATAAAAATAACCCCCCCCCCCAACCCCCCACCAACGAACGAACCAATCTTTTGATTGAAATTTAAATAACTTTAAATTTTAAATTTGCGTTTCTATAAAGTGGAATCCTACGACATTCCACTTCTAGTTGTTAAATGATCGTTCTTCCGCCGAATTAATGTTTGGTTTGCATGAGAAATAACTGACAGCTCGAATGCGTCGCGCGAGAGAATCACGTGTTTTGAATGAAGCGCGGTGTTCATTCAGAGATAAATGAACATTTATTACATTTCATATATATATATATATATATATATATATATAAGTATGTATCTTTTATAAAATGGGTTCATGTTGCACAGTTTTAATTAACTTATGACTTGCTTTTATGATAGTTCAGCGAATAGTATTATAGTCAAAAGGTTTAGATGCCTTCGTTTTTATGATTTCAAAAATGCCGATTGAGGCTTTGTTAAAACATTCATTCATTTATTTATTTCAAATGGCAGGTTTTTTGATAGTTATCATTAGCTCTTTAGTTGATTTCGAGCTTCGCGGAGAGAAGGAGGAACATCAAAAGGACAAAAGTCGAGAGGGGGGGGGACAGAATAATGATTCTCAGACGTAAAAGAGACATACAGGCACAAAGGCGGAGCAAAAAAGAGAAGTGAGTACTGTGGAAGTAGTGGAATATGACATACAGAGGGGCCATTGTAGTTTGAGGTCAGAAGTCAACTGCCGGTTTATAGATTTCTTTGCCGAATGAGTATACGTTGCCCAGGATGCACCACGTGGAGGTAAGTCTATCCCACACCCCTTTTGTTAGAACGAAAAGAAGAGTTTGTATAAAGTATACAAATAGTGTGATATTGGACTGTACGTGTTTGCTAAACTAAATGGAGAGAATTATATTTCCATTATCCACTGATATTACAACACATTTTTGGGAAATTAGAGCGCACAATTGCCTTATTATCGAGCTCTACTCTGGATTAATTGTAGGAAATTCAACACTTTTAAGAACTATAAAAATTCCATGAACAATTGAAGACAAAATAATAATTTTGCCTCCATGGATTAAAAAATCGTCTGGTTCCATGGAATAGAAGTCTACCTCTTGAGAAACAAGAGTTTTCATTTTTTTACATTGTCAACAACTCGATAATTCAATCCATTAAAATTTGGCGGAGATAATTGGCTCGCAAACAAAATTCTCCAATCTATTGGAAGTGAAATTTAGAACATTTGCGAACGGAGTAGATATTGCTAAGAGCGGATTGGTTGAATACCCATTGAAGGCTGTTAATGACAGACCCTTTGAAGGTGAGTCAATCTGATCAGGATCGATTGCAGCCTAGTTTGTATTTTGCATAGCCACCACTAAAACTGAATCATCCACGAGCGAATCAGATTAAGCCCATAGAGATTTCTCCAAATGCTTGGATTTTTTTCGTTCACAAGTGCATATCGATTTTGTAAAAAAAAGTTAAGCTCAACAGAATTGGCAGCAGGAGGTACCTTAGTGGCGATATGTAAGAACGGGAAACGAGTAGAATTTGAATAAACATTGGCTTTGATGTATTAGAAACGGTGGGCAACACTTTGGGCACCAAGTTTCTCTTGAAGGAACGGTGATTTCAGACCGGTATGCCCTCAAACGCTTTGGCAACGAGTCGTGCAATAAAATGCTTGTTGAGAAACAGAAAAACCTAGCACTGTAGACATTATATAACGTCGTGGGTGATTGGGAATAAAATGCGGCTACGCAATTGCTATAACCTAATTACCCTCGAAATGGCATCAAATATCAAACCTTATTATGCACTTTCTGGTTCTCCGAGACATTTACAAGACAGTGTAATGCTACAGTTGTGTCGCTTTTTTAATTCTTTCAAAATAATGTCCATTTAAAGCTAGATGATGAAAACATTCCGTAGAGTTCCAGATCCCAGAGATATATATGGATGATAAGTTGGATAATTGCGTTGAAGCGCATTTCAAAATATTTGCCGAAAACTCTTAGACATTAAATAGACACAAATTTTGGTTGGATCAGAAAACACTGTGTTCATAATATGAAGGCTATTCATTTTCAATATTGCTTGTTTATCTGAAATTCAAATGATTAATATTGTGATTTATAAAAACGAAGTAAACTATAATCACCAAGAAATGAAAACCGAGCTTGAATTTTAGACACTAAGCTGTTTTTCTGAGGACCTCTTGTTTAAATGAGCAGGTTTAATAAAAAAACCTAAAAGTTATAACGATTTGGTGTGAATATTTTGAACCTAATATTTTAAAAATGAAAAGATTGATTAGTGAATTACGAATGGTAAATTTTACCCCATACAATTAAATTGAGCTCATTAATTTGTTTATATCAAATGGCAGGCTTTATGATAGTTATCATTAGTCCTTTAGTTGACCTCCAGGCTTTATGATAGTTATCATTAGTCCTTTAGTTGACTTCTGGTTTCACAGAGGAGGGGAGGGGGTGGATATCAAAGTCACGGAAGGTGGAGAGGGGTGAGGGAATAGATCAGTGAATCATAGATATAAAACAGTCAGACACTAAGGTGAGTTGAGTGCTGTGGAAGTGGTCGAATATGACATACAATGGAGTCATGGCAATTTAAAGTCAGAAGTCAACTGCCGGTTAATAGACTTTTTTGCCGTATGAGTATACTTTGCCCAGGGTGCCCCACGTGGAGGTAAGTCTATCGCACACTCATACAAAATTAAATTAATGCCCTAAATGAAAAAATAGATTCGTACAAATTCGATAATATTTGCCATAACTTAACCGTGTATACACTAATTACTCCGCAGAAACCATGTATGCAACTATTAAAATCCACCATGTCATATCGCATGGAAGACAAATTAATGTTGTTTGTTCTTGTTTCCTCTCTCTATTTCAGCTTGTATACGAAATATTTTTGCGTTTCCTTTCCCTTCTGGACATTAAAACCCTCTTTCTCAAGAAGTACATTGACCAAACATTCATTCTCAACCTCCTCACCAACTTTGACACCGAATATCGTCAAGAGCGCGCCTGTGCCAAAATGATTCTTCACAAAATTTACACAAAAGTGATCCAACTGCGAAACTTCATTCGTAATCAGATGATTATCACTTTCCAAAGGTAATTGTAAATGGCCTAAACCGGACCATAATTTTCCAACATCGATGAGGCCTTAAACGCCAGAATCGTCAATTCGATTAGTCGTGTGATCCGATAAAAAATACTAAACAGCTGATTGCGATGATGATGACTTTCTCAATCTTCCTAATCACTCCAGAAAATACGAAATTTTAAATGATTCTGAAAATTAGTTAAAATGGGATTAAAATAAAATCAAGAAATGTTTAAGTAATCTAACAAAAATTTCCAGTTTCGTAAAATGGGACCACCACCCAGCAGTTGCCAATAAAGTTCACTTCAGAAGTGCACTTGTATTTGTATAGTCTATGGATTTATGGTGAACGATGAATGCGAAATCTCTAGACTTCATAAAAAAACACCAATGAAATATTTTTAAATTGTGGAATAACACTGAATTCTTTTGTTTGAAATGTCAGAAATAAATGGTAGTGTAATGTTCAGTGACTTAAATTTGTCTTAAAAGTAGTCTTTTAGTGGCTAAGTCGTTTCGTGAGATAAAGCCTTAGAGATAAAATTTTAACAAATCAACAAAGAGAGTGAAATGTTGATTATAACCTCAGTTCTTTGGTATTTCAGCTTTGTTTACGAGTCGGAACAGTTCAACGGTATTGGCGAGCTGTTGGAGATATTTGGAAGGTAAGTTAGATTAATCCAATTTAAAATGTCATTTGGTTTTTAATATGACCATAAGCCAGGTTATGAAACAGGGTATTCTCGGCATGAAGTTGTGATGAAACAATGATGTCAACAAACAATACCTCAGATATTTAGGGCTCCCTGTAAACATAGCCTGAGATCAGCTCTTTATTAGAGGTGTTGAATTTAATGCAACAGTGAAGAGTGGGTAACTGATTCTGTTAAAGTACTCCCTCGAGGTAATGAAAGATTGTGCTTGACCAGATCATCAGTCATGTAGAGAGCGCACTAATTGGGAAGTCATCTCGGGAGTGTTTAATTGAAATCACTGCGCCAGATTTAAAGTACACAAGATTGATAGTGAAAGAGTAAATAGGAGTAACTTGATTAGAGAAGTCTTTTGGACTTAAGATCTTGAGAGTAAAGTTTAAGGTTTAAGTTGCAAAGTATTTCCTGCCATGTATACTCTGTCAAGTTGCCTCATTGCAATATAACTCCGACCTTTGATAGGTCTAGCTGTAGTAATTATTTTGCACAGCCCTAGAAAGAAGAGGACAGAAGTCATACCACTCAAAGACGAGTTGTGTTTCGATGTAAATATATTGAGCTATGCTAGACATGACTGGCTGCCTAATTGACCATTACTATGGTATAAGTGGGCTCTCATTTCTCAGGACAATAATCGATAATCAAATGAAGCAGACTCCAATCAACTGCACCGAGAAATATATTCAACGCAGTTGCCGAAATGTTGTAATTTAAAGGAAAATGAAAGTGTAATATATCATGTAATTCCGTTTGCATTTCTTCACGTCAATTTTAACCAATAGCATTTGTTCTGATGTAACTATTAATAAATCAATAAGTTATTCACAGCCATTTATGCATTTGGAGCAATTTCACTACGTGTAAACAAATAAGGCATGAATGAAAACTAATCTTTGGTCTATTTTAGTATTGTAAGCGGTTATCAAGTCCCACTGAAGCCCGAACAAATTAGGAGTTTACGAAAGGAGATCCTGCCACTTCACAAACCCTGGTCAATTTCAACTTACCACCCTCAACTCACCTACTGCATTGTACAGTTCCTTGAAAAGGACACCAGCCTCCTGCAATACGTAAGTCAGGTTGACTTTTATCGGCTAAAAAATGCCAGTAAATCATTTTGTGTGTGTGTGTGCGCTACTTCCCTCCACTTTGACGCGATAAAGGAATGTTTAATTAACTAATAATAGTGCGAAATTTGAAAATAGGCGAAAAAGGTGCATTTTTATTGCATTTCTTGCCACTTATTTCGTTGTGGGAAAGTTCACAGTCGCGGTGAACACAAAGGAAAAAACCATTATTAATTAACATTACTAAATTTGAGCTCTAGGGGATATCACTTTAAATTAATTTAAATACCACGTCACAGTGAAGACTGTGATAAGACCATTGCCGTTCTTTACCCTAACAAAGAGGCATACTCACGTCTATAAGGACTGAAAGTATAGTTCTTTAAGTATTTAGAAGTGATTACGTTCACTTTTCTACCTAGGCTCAATTGTTGTCTATACGCATTTGTTGAATCTATAAAAAATTCCCTCGTGGTAGAATTTTGGGGGCTGTCTCTGTCACCTTGAAATTGCCTGCTTTGTCGCTTCACCTAAAGGAGATGTTTTCTCAATTTCTTGTTTTTGGTGGGTTGTTACCAAGTGGCATTCTTCCCTCTCGAAAGCGTTCGATCCAATCATAAAGGAATACTCTAAAAGGCACAAATACCCCCCAAAACCTGTTGTAGTACTCCTATCACCTGAACAGGTTACAAATTTTGAGTTAAATTAAAAATTTTATGTCTGCTCTGATCTCAAAATCTGCCATTTGTATGGTTGACAATTGCTAGATATTTTGAGGTACAACCTGTCTTGATCGGACAGGTGTATGTTATCAAGGGGAAGCTCATAAGGCTTGTTTGAACTTATACATCTCTGTTCCATTTAAAGCCGTGGCATTTGTCTGTGAGCGCTATGACGCACCTACGCGTTCTCCCAAACATTACAATGATTGGCTAGTTTTTGGGGAAGTAGAACTACAAGCAATAATTCACTATTCAAAATATTTTATGATTCTTGGCACGACCTTGCAATGCTTACCTCCCCGTAACCTCACATCAGTAATTTCGTTTTTTTTAATGAATAAAACCGTGCATTTTAAAATACAGGAGAACCGCAATAGGACAGACAAACTATAAAAAAAATAAAAATAAAAAATTTAATTATTCAAGAGTCGCATTCAAACAGCAGTGCTTTTAGCAAACAAAGCACACCTCTGGCATGTGGGCCAATGAAGAAACGACCAGTTGGTACATTAATTAAAGTGGAATTTTGATATGAAAGGAGAACTTGCTGTTTGAAAGAAAGTAGCCACATTAGCACGAGAAGCAAAATTTTCAAATTCTGGAATGTGGATTTAAATTGCAACTAATAAGGTAAAGGCCGGGGGTTTATATTTCATTATCCAGTGTGGTATGAATGCAAAAGAATTGCCTGTAAGTGGGCAAAATTTCAGTTGGCTGATTACAAATTGACCAGCATGATTTAGCTAATTTACTTACAGACGTTACTTGACATTTATAATATTAGCAGACGCATAACGATTAAGCTGGAATACTGTGAATGCGACTAAAGTCCATAGGTGCTCTTTGTCTTTGACAGGAGGGCGAATTTACGTGGAAGATAGGATTACTGAGAAACTTAAATTACTCCCTGAATTTCACTGAATCTGAAATCCAGTTTAAAGTGAAGTTCAATTAAAAGAACTAAACTATTAAATATTTCTTTTAAAATTAACTAATTTACATTAGGATTATGGAACCCGAGATAGACAGAAGGAGTTGTCTTGCCCCGCTAGGTCTTTTTCATGAAGTTCAAGCCCTCAACCCTCGACATCGTAGGAGGAGGAGTTGAGTGGATCGCAGGATTCGTAGAACGCCAAGTAATGTCTATGCCTTACCTGAAATTCTGCCTATGTGTAAATTCTTGGGCTCACCATTTATGTCAAACTAATAATTCCTTTATTGTATTTTGCTGAATTCTTTTTTCGAATTCCAATATTCTATGACTTTGACATCCCGATAACCTTCGGACAAAGAGAATTGGGGGTAGAAGAGATTAAGTAGAGTTAACTTAGGAGAAATCTGGGCAAAGGACAAATATTGATCTATTCAACACTGGTTTCAGATGTTCAAATATATGCCTCGTAGATAATATATTCTTCACAACGCTCTGTGCTTATTGACTGATAGGCTGATTAATAATTTTGTTTCAGCGTTTCTTCATTCCCATGACCACTAACTGAAAGGAAATATTTTATCAAGTTTAAGTAGCATTGAATTAATTAGTAATTTTTTTCAAAAGTACGAAACACAATATTCTATTATGTCACGTATATCTGAGTGAAAAGACTATTGTCATGATCAAATTATATTTATTTATTTCAAATGGCAGGCGTTTGGATAGTTATCATCAGCCCTTTAGCTGACTTCGGACTATCCTATGATAGTTATCATTAGCCCTTTAGCTGACTTCGGGTTTCAAAGGGGGGGAACATCAAAATAACAGAAAGTCGAGGGGTGGGGAACAGAGGTGTGATTTACAGATGTAAAATAGACAGACACAGGCAGAGAAAAGGTATAATNAGTGAAAAGACTATTGTCATGATCAAATTATATTTATTTATTTCAAATGGCAGGCGTTTGGATAGTTATCATCAGCCCTTTAGCTGACTTCGGATTTCACAGGGGAAGAGACATCAAAGTAACAGGAAGTCGAGGGGTGGGGAACAGAAGAGTGATTTACAGATGTGAAAGAGACAGACACAAAGGTAGGGAGAAAAGGTGAGGTGAGTACTGTGAAAGTAGTTGAATATGACATACAGTGGGGTGACGGTAGCTTGAAGTCAGAAGTCAACTGCCAGTTAATGGACTTTTTGCCCTATGAGTATACGTTGTCCAGGGTGTATCACGTGGAGGTAAGTCTATCGCATACCCCATGATCGCATTATATAACACCCTGTTTTATGCGTATTAAAATATGGCATTTATATCGACTTATAGGTCGTGAACGAAGGAATTTTGCGATTTTGGCCAAAGACGCATAGCGCTAAAGCGGTGATGTTCTTGAACGAGCTGGAAGAATGCTTGGAAATGGCGACTGAGGCCGACTTTGAGACAGTAATGATTCCCGTCTTCAAACGCTTGGCCTCTGGTTACACCAACACACATTTTCAGGTATGCAGCAGGCCCGTAGCTATTTACGATGTGTTTATGTGCTATATGTTAGTAACTATTTCACGCCTTGATTATACCGCCTCCAAGGGGGTTTAACTTTCAAGGAAAAAATTTGCATTTTTAAGCCGGCGTAACCATAAAAAGCGGTGTGGAGACTGATATCTTTGCAGAATAGTTATGATGATGAAATGGATTAGGACAGGCTAAAGGCCTGTCTAGAGGTTAATTTATTGCTTCCAACTCCCATGGGTCTAAACAGCGTGCTTTTGCCCAATAACCTAATCAGCAATCACAGCTTTCTTAGTGATTAAAGATTAAAGATGATATTTTTGCACAGCTTCTGCCATTATCTTTACCCAAGAGATTGGAAACCATGACGATCGATAATACTCATTGCCTTTCTGTATTCTCATATTGATTGGTTCCCTAATTTGATTACATTTTCGCATTAAAGTCCATTGGACAAAATTTGCTTTCAAGAAAATAATAATGGAGTATTCGCATCAATTCATAATCAAGAGTACATTTTGAAACACCCCTGGGAATACCTAAAAAAATGTTTTACCCAGTTTGAAAAATTTAATTAACCTAATTAGTAATTAATAATATATTTAAAAAGAAATTGTTAAACAAACATGGGGGAGTTAGTTTTCCATAACTTTTACATTCAAGATTTTAACTAAGTTATCTACATATGAAATGGAGCAGTTCAAGTTGATGTTAATACTTTTTCAGAAAAACAAACAATTCAATTATCAATACATTTTAAAGTTAATTAACAAACAATCTGATTTCATTGTCTGATTACAATTGAAATTAACCTTCGAGACGATTCTTATTGAATAAAGCACTTGTATGTACTGCGGATGTGCCTATTTTCATTAAATAGATTGCATAAATTGTCAGAAAGGTGGCTAAATGTCTTATCGCGTGGAGAGACGCAATTCCAGCACATCTGTTGCACTTCTTGACTCTATGCGATCCCATACCGATTCCGTAACAGCTTGAGAGCATTTGGGATAATAGCTGTCGTTAGTCCGCGCTCTGCTTTGACATCCCCATATCAGTGATCTGAAGATGTATAATTTCACTTGTCTTGTTAAGTGACCTAGATTTCAGCTCTAACTCGTGATTGAGTTAATTGCTCTAATCCAACAGTAAGAAGTGGATCAGATGATTATAAAGGAAGAAATTTGACCTCCTAGAGTTTTAATAGGGCGGACGAGTCTTTTTATACAACAACAATAACAAATTCTTGCCTCTGTTTATTTTAAGCTTGCAGAACGTTCACTGATCGTCACATACAATTCAACACTTTTCAGTATGGCTTCCAATCACGTAGATCGAATACTTCCAATTGTTCTCCCGGCTCTTAACGCAGCTCTCCTCCATTGGCATGTGTAAGTTCTCGTTTGGCTCAGATTATGTAACTTGGGGACCTTTAGCCTCCATTGATACTAGACTCCTAACAGAAAACACTATTGACGTTTGAAACGTTCAATACGCGTCTATAGAGCCTTCTCCAGATACACCACCAGAACCAATCACGTCGGCGGCATCAGTGTGCTGCTGTGAGGCACACTAGTGAGTGCGGTTGGGTGCATTTTTAAAACAAAAAGTAATTCGAGAGTTAAAGGCATGATAACGTATTCGCATTAGCTTATAAATATAAAGTGAAATGTCTTTAAGGGTAAATAGTGTTAGCAATTTTCAGTAAATTATTTTTTTGTCCAACAGAACAGGCTAACTTGGAGATCAAATAAAGCAATAATCAGTCCT